TGATCCCATTTGTAACATTTTGATTCTTCCAGATTTCCCTGAGTGATTTTTAACTGTCAGATCTAGAATAGGTCCTGCTGAATTTGGTGATTTTTAAGAAGAGAGGCCAGAAACTCTTGTACATTAGAATACAATAAAATTTAAAAAACTGCATTATTAGCAGGCATGGTGTTCAAGGACAGTTTGGGCTACATAGTGAGCTCAAGGACAGCCTGAGCTAGGGAAAAACCCTGTCTTAAAAAAACAAACAAAAAGATTAAAACTATTTCATTATTGTTTAGTATGAATAGTAGTTATCCTATCCTAGTGATATCTTGCATTAGTTTCTTCGTAAATTTTGCTTTACCAATCTTTCATTGTTCTGGGTTTTGTTATAATTAGAGGTAATTATTTTTTGATTAGTAGCAGACTGTTCACTGGTTCTGAGACCTTCATATCAAATTCACCTGTAAGACCTTTCAGAAAATAGAGTGCTAGGCCAGGCATGGTGACACTTACCTGTAACCCCAGCACTCAAAAAGCTGAAGCAGGAGAACTGCTGCAAGTTCAAGGCCAGCCTGAAATGCATAGCAAAACCCTTGTCTCAAAAGGTAGAAAAAAATCATAAAGGATAGATGGATAGATTCCTAAGTCATACCCTAAATGTCTGGGTCTACCGAATGAAATGTCCAATGTGGAACACAGGTGCTTTTTTGTTGTCGTTTTACCCCGTACGTGGGATTGAACCTAGAGACCTCACAGGTTTGCAAGAGTTTTACCATCTAAAGTAAGCTTTTCACATGACTACATTTAATTAGTCATAGTCCGGATTGACTTTATAAATTGCTGGCATAGGTTAGAAGTGGGTTTAGTTTGGTAATCCTGGATAATGACATACATGGATATGTATTTTACAATATGTGTTGAATTTGAAGTACTGTTATAATTTGGGAGTCCAAAGTCTTTCACGGGCCTATTCTATTTAATGATTTTACCTTGAGGTAGTCAACGTGTGGTTCCCGTATGAATTTTGTATCCTGTGGGAATGCTTTGAAATGCTAGGTCCCAGGGAGATTTGAGAAGTACAAAGTATGTATCTGAGAAACAGGAAAGAAATTTATAGCTGAATGTAACTTATGTTCATAGAGTTATGGAGTAGCTGCCAGCAAAAGACAGTGTTCGGATGTGGATGATATTTGTTCAATATGTCAAGCTGAATTTCAGAAGCCAGTTCTTCTCATCTGCCAGGTAATTATATTTTTAAGCAAATGGAAATCAGCACTTTACTGTGACTTAAGTCACATTTATGTTATACAGAAAAAAAAGATACAGTATTTAGAAGGCAGCATTTGGAGTACAGGACATACTAATAACTTATTCATAACTGTTCGGTTGACTAAATCCTAGCCCTTATAATCTGATACTTTTATGCAGAAAAGTATTTTTAAATTAACTTTATTGGTACATTTTAGAAATATGTAATGATCATATTGATCATCACAGAGGGGTATGTTAAGGTAAAAATAATTCAGCTGGCAGAGAGATACCAAAGTGATTGCAAAACATGCTTTTGAAAATAACTGGATTGGGCCAGCAAGATGTCTCAGCAGACTAGCCACCTGCTTTGGCAAGTGCAGGGACCAGGGTTTGATCCCTGGTCCTGCATGCTGTACCCCCACACCCCACCAGGGTGCTCTGAGGCAAAACAGTTTGGGTGTGGTGGTACATGCCTGTAATCCCAGCACTGGGGAGGCTGAAAACAGGATCACCAGGAGTCTGATCTGCACAGTAAGACCTTGTACCAATTACACAAAATGAATAAAAACAAAAAACTGGATGCTAGTTATCGTAAGATAGTACACATACCTGGTTCTGGAATATATAAGTCTCTTTATGGCAGTTACTGCCTCAAAGACTACTAAAAGTGGGTAAACAGTATAGTCAGAAAAATACTAGGTCCCTAGGACTAAAACCACTATCTTTAATGTTTTATTACTACTTTTTTGAAGTACTAAGGATTGAACCCAGGACCTTAGGCATGCTAGGCAAGCACTCTACCACTGAGCTATAACCTCAACACTGCCTTTTGAATGTGTCAAATTTCTCCATTTTCTCATTTGTAAAATGTTAGGATGAGTGCTCTTCAAAATCCCTCTCAGCATTAAAGATTATGATTCTATATAATATGAATGTAGGCCAGGTATGGTGGCACACACCTGTAATCCCAGCAGTTGGAAGGCTGAATCAAGGGCATCCTTGCGAGTTAGAGACCAGCCAGGGCTAGGAAGCTCAAGGCCAGCCTGAACTGCATAGTGAGACCCTGTCTCAAAAAGACACACACACAAAAATAATAGAATTAAAAATGTTTATCAAATATAAAATCTAGTTCTTAATTCTTTTACAGCATATATTTTGTGAAGAGTGCATTACCTTGTGGTTTAACAGAGAGAAAACATGTCCCCTGTGCAGAACTGTAATTTCAGACCACATAAACAAATGGAAAGATGGAGCCACTTCATTACACCTTCAAATATATTAAATGGTATATATTCTTAAGACCACAAAACACTAATGTGGTTACAGTGACTATTGGTAAAGGCATTAGAATGTATTTTCAGGGCTCAACAAAAACTTGTTTCCAAGTTCCTCTAGACTTTTACAAGGCTTTTATGTATAGTTCAGTTTATCAAGAGTAAGTGAAAGAACTCTAAAAGTATGTAATATTCAAACTAATGATATGCAACTTATATTTTTATTTGACTTGTAATTACAGTGTTAAATTGTAAATATGTTTTATTATCAGAACAATTTGAAACTATACTGGTTTGAAAAGAAATCAGGTGTTCTTTCCTGACATTGTTTTCAGAATTAAAAGAGTATTTTCACAATATTTTAAGATATATAAAATCGAAAAGAATTTTCTTCAACATTGACTTTTATAACTGTCATTCTGAACTCCTCAAAATTTTCATAAAACTTGTATTTTGTAATGAAAATTCTAATTACTATATTTTACTTGTAATCACTTTCTAAATGAAGATGAGTTTACTGAGGATGATATATTTTAATATTGCCTTCTGTGTAGTATCATTAGTAATCAGTGAAAAATAAATGATTCAAATTCATTTGTTTGTGACTCTTTACCTGATTCCTGCCATCAGCATTAATATTCACAGTCTTGGTTTTTCGCACCATGGAGTATTTTGAATGTGAAACTAGTTCATGTAGGGGCTGGGCTATAGCAGAGAGAGTTTTCTTAGCATGTATTTGGTCCTGGGCTTAATCCCCATCAGCAAACAAGAGGAATTCCATAAAACCTTTAAAAAGAATGCCTTTATAACTAGTCTTTTTCCAGAAAAGTTTTGAAATCTGAGGCTTTAGTTACCATTAATTGGGATATTAAAGTGTACAGTTCAGGGCTGAGAGTGTGGCTCAATACTAGAGTGTTTGCCTAGCTTGTGATAGGCTCTGGATTTTATCCTCAGCACTAAATGGGGGGAAACCTTACACTCAAGAAGTCTGCTGTTGCTGTTGTTTGATACAGGGTTCCACTGTGTAATGCAGGCTGACCTTGAACTCATTATGTCGTCAAGCCGGCCTCAAACTCCTGGTGATGCTCCTGCCTCAGCCTCCGGAGTTCTTTTATTACAGATATGAACCACCATGCACAGCTAGAACAGAATTCAAAAGATCTATTTAATGTCTAACTTGAGAGTACAATAGCTCTCCAGTTTATTATCTGTCAATCTGTATACAAGTTAAAGATAGTGCTTTTCAGAGAAGTTGGATGAGGCAGAAGACATTTACAGTTTCGAGAAGAAAAAGGCTAAGCCAAAACATAGGTAAGTAAGAAAGTGATCTATTTGATACAAGTGACACTTTTTCATGCCTGTATAACTACCCAAATTGAAAAAAGAGCCTGATCTGTACCCTTTTCCCCAGGTTATAAGTATTTCTATTCATCCATCACAATATATTCAACTCTCTTACATATTTTGAGAATCACTGCAAATATTTAAACAAATTTTCTTGGTCTTAAATCACCTTCCTGGCTTTGTGAAACTTAGTTGTTTATTTAGATATGTAGCAGAAGATAGGTGAAAAATGCAATTTGGGATTAAAATTAAAGATTTAGCTGTGAAAGAGCCAAAATGATTTCTTGCTGAGAATGCAGAAGTAGCATTCAGCCCTATTACAATACCTGCTTGTTGTACCTACTTATCCTAGTGGATATTCAGACAACTTTGTCAATATGATTAAATGACAGTTTGTAGAGATGGTGGGGATGTGGGGCAGGCAACAAATTGAAAATGAGGAAAACTGTAACAGAGCTGTGCCACCTATTCACAATGGTGATGAACTGAAAGCATTTTTGTATTTCTATTTTCTAATCCTTCACCTGAGGCAGAAGGAAGGGAATATAGTTTGTTTTCTGTTTTCTTTTTGAGACAGGATCTTGAGTTCACAAAGATCCTCCTGCCTCAGCCTTCCAAGTGCTGGGATTACAGGCATATGCCACCACACCTGACGGGAAGTTCCTAGACTCAATTCTGTGAATTCAGATTGTGTCCTCAAAAATCATTATTGTACCAGCATTAAGAGATACTGTCGTGTATAATGGAAGAGTAACATCAGTTTGAGAACTGCAAATGTGATACAGATAAGTGGTTTATACAAAATGTCCATCTTATAGTAGATGTGAGACAGTAGTTAAGGCAGATTATTTTTTGTGTAAGTACCGCGCTAACCGATTGAGCCACTGGAGCATAAGGCAGATTTTTTTTGCATACTTTTCAAATATAGTTGAAAAGTATAGCTCAATAAGTTCACTGTCAGTGCAAGAAAGTATTCCTAGTGTTTTTATGTGACACTAGCTTCAACATAATGTGTCACATGAACTTTTAAAAAGAACAAATAAAATCTATTTGACATAATTTTAAGTTCAAAAGTATAATATCTGATACATAAACTCAATACCAAAACTTTAAATACTTAAGTAGCTTCAATTTCTCAGCACAAATTTTTACAAATGTCATTCCTTACAAACATAGTTTATTAAATTTCAGAACTTAAACACATTTGACATGTTAATATTGTACACCTGATACATTTTTCTTCCTCCCTTAAGATAATAAAAAAATCACTTCTATTTTATGTTCATTCAAATTCGCATTTAATTTCTATTTACATTCATTCGATCTGAAGTCAAATATTTCAATACAGCAAACTAAATACAAGATGAAAAGCAGAAAAGATGTTACCCTCATAGCACTCCTAATAAGGCAGCTGAAGAATTTCTTTAATAGATGCAAAGCCAACTTGAGATAGTAGAAACAATAGTGTAAAGAGCAAACACAAACAGATGAACCCATCTTTGAGATGTTACTCCAAATAATCCACTGAGATAATACTTGTGCTGTAGTGCTAAGAATCACACAAAAATACTGTATTAATCAGCAATAAGCCATTCATGTGTGAAAAATACTTTATATTAAGTTCTGTCCAGCTTGCTAGTGTCTACTCTTATGAAAAAAAGCAGGTGTTTAGACATTGATTTTTTTTTATTTTAGAGATGAACCATTTCCAAAGCCTCAAAATACATTCTTCATAAATTCAACATTTCTCATGGGAATCATCTTAGGTCTAGCCCTTGTAAGCTAGGAATATGACTAACAGAATATAAACACATTTAGGTCCTATATTAAATATGTAATCCAATGCTCAGGATATTAGTACTATCTCAGATGCATCTTCTTTATAATCACATTACGTATAGGAAAAAATGTTGAATTTATGGAGTTTCATACATGCATCTTCCCTTACCTCACGTTACCTTCGACCTCAAAAAATAGCATGGAAAACTCCTTGAAGGATTCAAATTAGTTAAGACCATAGAAAAGAAAAGGAAATAACAATTTTCCTAAAAACCTGGTTCAAGTTCAATAATTAATACTTTACATTGTTAATCACAGCTGGTTTATAAATCCCAGTTTAGTTATTCGGAAATGCTACAAACCTTTATAAAAGTAAATTAGTAAACCTCAGTTCACTGATTACATTTTAATTAAAAAACAGCATGTATAAAATAAAAAAATATCCTGTAATAGTTGATTTTTAAAGAAAACAAGTGATGAAAGAAAAGCACTTAATCTTTTTTTTATATACTTACCTGGTATAATCATAAAGAACCTTCTTAGAAACTCAAGACTAGTAATATTGACATCTTATATTTTAAACTATGCTTGGATTTTTACAAATAAATATAAGGTAAGCCATATTGCATAGGTATGTGCTTTCTGTCTGTGACACAAAAGTGACACCTGACATATTTTCACAGTCATAGGAGGGATATTGTCATCTATGAAACAATTTCTCAATAAACCTGCCACAACATGGGAAATTAATTTCACTTAATAAAGGTTAACTTAGAAAAACTTAACTATTTGTGTGGATGGTGTGTGTGCAATTAGTGCTTTTATTCAAAACAAGTTGCAATGTTTGCCACTATTACTGGCAGTACTAATGATGAAAACAGTTTAAATAGAGGGTGGTAATAGCCAGTCACAGTGCACATAATACTAGTGAACAGGACTAAGAAAAGTTATTTTGGTGTAATAGTTTCACTGGAATTTGGTCAGACAGTCAACACTACAGTTAGTAAACACATTTGAAAGCAAGTATCAGAGTAACACAAGCCATTTACAGTCTGAAGTAATGCCTATATATAGCCATAGCTTTTTGGACTTTTTCAGACATCACAAATGTCAGAAAACAAAGATCTGCATGTTAAGTACAATTTCTGCCCTTAGTCATGATTTAGCTCTAATCTACTAGCTATAATTATAAAATTCTCAGTAGGCTGCTGCAGTAAGAGAAGAAACAGTCCAGAAGTGATTTTTTTAAAAGAAGTTTTCTGTCCAAAGATAAATTATCAATTCTTTCATTTTTCTTTTTTTAAATTATTCTTTCTTTATTGCCACAATTGAAATGGTGTATTTTCAATCGTTTTTCATGGTTCTGTTTTTCCTTCTATCGTATGATTTCATTGTGTTTCACTTGAATTACGATTTAAGCAATGTCTTGCTTTTTCTGACTGAATTCAACATGCATGAAGAATTTTATGGCTTGGATCCTATGGCTCAAAAAGGTTTGGAGAACACAGCAAGCAGCATCTATTTAAAAAAAATCTAGGGTTGCAAACTATTAGAAACTGACTGACATTCAGACTGAATACATTATAAAATACAAAAAAAGTGATAAGAGTCAACTGTAACTGCATGATCTACTTATACCAGTATGCACTGAAATATATTTTTTATAAAGCTCTGCAGATTTTAAACCCTTTCACCAGCTAAAGTCATGGAAATGCTCTCTTTAAGGCAGGAAGTATTTAAGAAAGATAAAGTTACCTTTATTTTTATTCTTTGTATCTGTAAATCACTTGTGTGGATTTTGTTACAATTTCAAAAACAGTGTCCTGTTAACATGTTTCCTAAATGAAGCCACTTAGTTTTCTTATTCATTGTGGAAGACACACATTAAAAGGCCATCAAGTATTTTTACAATCAAAAAACGTAGCCCCAGTATAGGAGAAAAAAAAAAAATAGACCTTTTTCCCTTCTTAAAATTGTTGGGGAAAAAATATTAAGGAAGGTAGACAGCAAAAATAGTAAAAAATCAAACTAAAAACCTTACCAATTTGCTGTAGAGATTAGACAGAGTAGACCGTGGCAATACACTCTTTCTGCGGAAGTCTCCATCTCCCTTACTTTGCTGCCCTCATATACTTTATCCTGACTCTTCCATCCTTCTTCAGCCATAGGCTGAACACATCTGGTTATCTTCAACCAAATACTGGTATAAGAACAGGTGACAATTTTTTTCCAGTGCAACGTAGGCCCAGGACAAGGATGAAATGTAGGACATATAATTTATACCCATTCCAAGGCTTCTATTTAAGCTTAGCACATAGCAGTACTGCAAGTAGAAATGATTAAATAGATTTTTTTCCCCTAGTATTACAGACAGGTATTGCAGCTGGGTTACTGAAAATAATACCCCAGGTCCACCCCAAGCCCTCAAAGGAGCCACAGCTGTGGTTAACAATGATTCATTTGCATTTTATTTCATCAAGAGAAGAAACAGAAGTTGTCTGGCTTTCTTCACATTAACCAATAATTTCGCATTTTAAAGTTTTGGGATGTTTTCCATAATGAGCTGAATCAAAAATCTATTTGAAAAATATATATTTATATAAAAAAAAGATTCAGGTTGTTTGCACGTAAAACATCAATTGACAAGTTTCTTTTGTCTTTGATTCCACATTGCTGGAAAAGTTTGACCAAGCTTGCATGCTAATTTGTCCTTAGTTGCAAGTATTATAGGCAATTTCATACTTTGCCTAGTTGAGAGGATAACTCTTCTTCGACACAATTGGAATAGTGATTCAGAAGCAACATTCTATCCTTAATACTGTCCAGTTTCGAGCCATCAACATGGAAATCCTTGCTAAGGTTGAGAAGATGTTGCTTGGAATCAATGTAGCTAAGAGTTCCACAATACTATTTTGCTTAAGTTTTTTTTTTTTTGCACCATTGATTTATTTTTAAAAATCCATGTTTTTCTCTCCATCCTCCAAAGTGTTGTAGGTAATGAAACTGACTCTTTTGAGACTGTCATTTTGATTCTTTTTTT